TGTTCTACATCAAAAACAATAAGCATAACACTAGTTGACAATCTCCCAAAAACATTAGACTTGTTGATTATATTCCATCTCGCTCCTTCACTGTATTATATGTTGCATGATATCTTTACCAAATGTAATGACATGCACATTCGTTATATTTGCCTTTTTCCTTTTAGGCTTTAATGGAAAAATTTAAACATTAAGAGAGGGAAAAAAAATGTATCACCTACTTGGAATGTCCTTTTAATTGCAAAGACATCTAAGTAGATTAATCAAAATTATGTATTGGTTTGAAATAGAAGAAAAAAAAAAAAGTGTTACGGATAACCTCTTAAGGACTGGCCTGTTTTTGCGATGTTGTACGTTAAGGACCAGAGCAGTTTTGACACGTGTGGTGTTTGTGTTTAGCTGTAATTTTCCTCTCTCTCATTTACGGTTCCCATCCAAGTTATATATTGTTTTCTTTCAGGACAAGAAGGGCTTTCTTTACATACCATTATTTGTATCATGTCATATTTTATTTGAAAGAAATAATAAAATAGGGTGAAGAATTTAAAAAAAAAAAAAGTTTTTGGACTTTTACTTGAAAAATCTTTTACTTATCTACAAAAGCTAATAAAAAAAACTGCTAAATAGATTCAAAATTTCATCCCGAGTTTCAAAACACCCAGTGTTTACATGCTTTATTGCTTTTTTTTTGCAAGTTATAGGCCTATAAATACAAGTAGGAAATTGCTGTTTCAATATACCATATATACAGTGGTGTATCCTGGTTTTGTGCTGCCCTAGGCAGGACAAAACTCAGGCACAACCCCCCCCTCCGCCCCCTCGGGCCAACCCTCCCCCCCCCAACCCGCCTTCTAAATACACACACACACATTCACTGACAGATACGCATACACTCGCTAACAGAAACAGACACACTCACTGACACACACTCACACAGACACACACTCACTGACACACATACACACTAACAGACAAACACAGTCAGACACACACACATTAACAGACACACACTCACACTAGCAGACACACACACACTAACAAAACACACACTCACTCACATTAACAAAAAAATTTTTTTTTTTAATTTTTTTATTTACCCCCCCCCCCACCTCCTTACCTTTGGGAGTGCTGGGGGGAGGGGTTCATTACCTCCCTGGTGGTCCAGTGGTTGCCAGGCTGGGCTGGGCAGGCGGCTGGCGAGGGAGCTCTTCCCCTGAGCGGTCTGCTCAGCTCCCTCGCGTGCCGCAAAGTGAGGCTGGGAGCCGGAAGAAGACTTATATTGCCATAATACAGACCAGGACCGCCGGGCTCATTACAAGCCCGGCGGTCCTGTTGGGGGCTGGCAGAGAGCTGTAACTTACCTTTCCTGCAGCTCCTGTCAGCAACCTTCTCTCTCCTCCGGTAAGCTCCTCTGTCAGCAACCCAGCAAGTCTTGCGAGAGCCGCGGGGTCAGAGCGTTGCCACGGGTTACCGTGGCAACGCTCTGCGCGGCACTCACACCGCGAGACTTACAGTGGAGCTGACCGGACCGGACGAGAGAGAAGGGAGCTGACAGGAGCTGCAGGAAAGGTAAGTTACAGCTCTCTGCCAGCCCCCTCCCACACAGCCTATGTCACTGGACCACCAGGGAATGAGAGCCCTGGCCAGCTAACAAGCAGGGAGGGGGGCCGAAAAAAAAATAAATACAAATTTAAATGATAATAAAATAATATTATTTTAAAAATTCATAGTAAAATAAAAATATTAAAAAAATTTAAAAAAAAAACAAATAAAAATGCCCACCCCCCACCAAGGCTCGGCATTACACACTCTGCGCACACACACACACACACACACTGCACTCACACACACACACACCTGCACTCACACACACACACTCTCACACACACACACACACACACACACACACACACACACCTGCACTCACACACACACACACACTCTGCACTCACACACACACACACACCTGCACCTCACACACACACACACACCTGCACTCACACACACACACACACTCTGCACTCACACACACACACACACACCACTCACACACACACACTCTGCACTCACACACACACTCTGCACTCACACACACACTCTGCACTCACACACACACTCTGCACTCACACACACACTCTGCACTCACACACACACAAAAAATGCCCACCCCCCACCAAGGCTCTGCATTACACACTCTGCACTCATACACACATACACACACTCTGCACTCACGCACACACACTCTGCACTCACGCACACACACTCTGCACTCACGCACACACACTCTGCACTCACGCACACACACTCTGCACACACACACTGCAAATAAATATGCAATATAATTTTGGGGGGATATAATTTTATTTAGAAATTTACCAGTAGCTGCTGCATTTCCCACCCTAGTCATACTCGAGGGTATAAGTTTTCCCAGTTTTTTGGGGTAAAATTAGGGGTCTCGACTTATATTCGGGTCGACTTGTACTTGAGTATATACGGTATATATATTTTAAATTTATCAATAGTGACATTGTAAAACCGTTATCTGTCATAAATCCCCGAATCACACCTCACATGTACATATTTTTTTAAAGTAGACAACCCAGGGTATTCAAAATGGGGTATGTTCAGTCTTTTTTAGTAGCCACCTAGTCACAAACACTGGCCAAAGTTAGCATTTATATTTGTTTGTGTGTTAAAAATGCAAAAAACTGCTAACTTTGGCCAGTGTTTGTGACTAAGTGGCTACTAAAAAAGGCTGAACATACCCCATTTGCAATACCTTGGGTTGTCTTCTTTTGCAAATGGTATGCCATCATGGGGCTAATTCTCATTCCTGGGCTACCATACGCTCTCAAAGGCAACCTAACCAATCTGACGAATTTCAATAAAAAAAAAAAAAAAAAGTAAAATCAAGCCTTATATTTGACCCTGTAACTTTCACAAACACTATAAAACCTGTACATGTGGGGTACTGTTATACTCAGAAGACTTCGATGAACACAAATATTAGTGTATCACAGCAATATCATCAGTGAAAGTGCAGTTTGTGTGTGAAAAATGCAAAAAACTTCACTTTCACTGACAATATAATCGCTGTGATATGTTTTACTGTTTTAAAACACTAATATTTGTGTTCAGCTAAGTCTCCCGAGTAAAACAGTTCCCCCCATGTACAGGTTTTAGGGTGTCATAGAAAGTTACAGGGTTAAACACAGTGCTAGCAAATTAAATTCTCTGGACTTTAAGCCTGGGTTGGCAGGCAGGTCCCCCAAATTGCAATCATTAAAATTAATTAGGTAAAAATATTACATAAATACGCATGAAGAATTTTAATATATATACATATTTATATATTTGACGTCTACGTGTATATTTATGAAATTATTTATGTATGTTGTGGAAATAAGGTCTACACATATTTCCTAGTTAGTGAAAAATGTCTATTTACTCATTTCACGATATATACATATATAGCTAAGCACACACACGTTATAATTAAGATGGCTGCTGGAAGCTTCTAGCTCCTTCCCCCTCCCCTCCCTTTCTCCTTCCTAACATCGACTAACTACCTCGTGCATCAAGATGGCGCCGGTAAACCGTGGGAGACCCTCATGGCCCCGGTGACCACCTACAGTAGGCAGAGCATTGAAGCAACCACTTAACACCTAACCAATAATTGATGTATTATTCCATGTTATCTCTGACAATGCTTATGATGTAATTTTGCTTTAAAAGGGACTTGCCGTCCCCTCTGAATAAACTTTCCTCAAGTTATTCAACAACCTGGAACCTGTGTCTGGTGTGAATTACTTCAGGGAGCGTGCACGCATAGTTTCATTGATTTGGCCAGGGGCAGATACACAAAGAAATAATCAATACTTTAATTGATTTTTCCACTTCAATGTAATTATGTATATGGAAATATGTATATTTCAAATTATTTTTATTTATACATAGATATAAATATCATTACAAGTGTATTTTGATATATATTAATATCAAAATACTGTTAGAATAAAATTATACATATAATTTTTTTTTAATTCTTAAAAATTATTTTTACTTTGTTATTTATTTTTATTAACATTTATAATATATACACAAAATATACATACGTGTGTAATTTAAATTAAGTGTATTTTTATATTAATATACGTATATATAAATATAAAAATACACTTAGTATGACATATATATGAGATATATACACACACACACACACAGATATATATATATATATATATATATATATATATATATATATACACACATACATACACACACACACACACATTTTTTTACACTGATTGCTTTATTTTTTAACTTTATTTTTGATTTTTCACTTGCAGGGAGACTGCCTGTCAGCACAGACAGTACCCCTGCAGGCAGATACACAGGCACCTATTGCGGCCACGTGATCACGTGGCCGCGGGGTCCTGATCTGCCGAGGGGAGACTGCCTGGGCAGACAAGCAGTCCCCCTGGACCAGGAGGAGCGTTGATAGCCGCCGGGGGACCGACGGCGATCAGGTAAGTAGCCCCAGACCGTTATGAAGGTTCAGGACCGTAATCGGTCCCCAAGGGGATTTTTCAGATGAGGGTCCTGAACCGTCATCGGTCGTCAAGGGGTTAATGCAGGGCTTGACAAATTTGCTTCAAATCTAGGAGCCAGGTTTTCAATGTCAAAAATAAAATTCTCAAAGGGACACTATAGTCGCCAGAACCACTACAGCTTAATGTAGTTGTTTCTTGTGTCTATAACCAGTCCCTCCACATTTTTGAAAGGAAAACCCTGCCTTTTCAGAGTAAAGGCAGTATTTACATTGTTGCCTAGTAACACTTCTAGTGAAAATCACTCAGACGGCCTCTAGAGTGCATCCTGGGGCAGTGCTGCACAGTACGCAGCACCTACATTTAGTGTCTCCACCCTCATCCCCCCCCTCCTTTGGACCAGTGGGGGTCATCCCCGTCTACCCCTCGGAGGAGAGCACTTACCGACAAATGGCTCCCGAACACATAACCAACCGGTGGAAGCCACGAGGCCGAACCAAGCTGGTCGAATGCACCGCTCCCCACATAGCACACAGGCGCCAGCTCCAACACAGGTCTGCTTTATGGCCACAGCCCCACCGGCACAACAGCCAGCCAAGAATCTGTCCTCTGCATGGCGAAATACCGAGGCGCAAGCAGAGGGGCACCGACCAGGCAAAGCATCTAACGGAACTGCCTACTCCCATTATGACGGCCCATCAGGGACTAGAGCCACTGGGGGGGGCAATCCCTAATCACCACCCACAACCTGCGAAACAACAACGGAAACATGCAGCTCCACGGAGCCCCATTACGGGGAAGGACTCAGCACCAGAAAAGAGGCAAGTCCGTGGACCAGTGGTAAAGGCTCTCAGAAGGTCCCCGAGCAGGAGGGGTACCTCACCCGGACTGCGCTGTGAAGTTCAAGAGGAGGCATTGGATATCAGGGCAAAGCTGAGGAGGCTCACCGTCATCCTTTCCAGGCATGCCAACAAGACCTCCAGAGTGGGCATTGGCTGAAACAGTATGGACTGACTCGTTATGTGGTCCCCAGCATTCGACCCGGCGCACAATGTGAGGACTCTCTCGCCACTTACCGGAGGCAACAAACGCTGACTAGTTTGATGTGTATAGTCATATTGTCCTATATACTGAAACTCATGCACACAAGTTAAGTCTCCTTTGATAACTGCTATGTACATATAGCCTATAGTGTTTTGCAGATCAGTCGCTTGACATGCTACCGTCACATTATATATATATGATTGATTATTGCAACTAGCCTGTGCCTTGAATAGCAACCAAGTGGACCTACCTAGATAGCATTCATACATCTTACAGTATATAGCCTGCGACTAAGCAAGGTTTAAGTCTTGCTTTTGTAAGGGATATGTATGTCTCACCTAACCAGCACCAACCAACCCTAAGAACCCCACTCCAGACACGCCTGGTCTGAGATACTTGGGCTAACACACTCTTAATTTTAGAGATATACCTTGTCCATAGTCAAGTTAAGCATGCACAAGGCTCTACTTTGTACCAGACGTCTAAATACTAGCAAGTTTCACACTACCTATAATAAGCTATGACAAACAACGTTTAAACAAATCTCACTAACAAATTCTTGATTGACACAACTATACCTAAGTTCAGGCAAAGTTCAGAATGTTTCTTTTATTTACTCATTTCTCACAGTAAACATAATTGTACATGTTCACTCCTCAAATGTAACGCTTGATATGGGGCCAGAGGATTGCCGTTGGGGTACCTCCGACTTGTATGTAACTACCGTATGCACTGCAAAAAAAAAAAAAAAAAAGAGTAAAAATTCCTTACCCATGTGATAGGAGGGGGACCTGTCACCTAAACACACATTCACTCACTGGTACACACACACACACTTACATTCTCAGTCACTGCAATAACACATTAATTATACAAATAAGGTGACCACCCAGTCTCAATACCTGGAACTGGAGTGGTTTGGCTTTCCCTGTGGTCCAGTGGGGCTTCAGCAGTCATCTCCCTGCTCTGCTCCATAGAGCGCTGTTTAGTGATGCCATCATAGTCAGGCTCTGGCATCACTGGAGGACGTGCGAGAGAGCATAGCAGGGAGGGGGGTTACAGTTGCCTCAATCTTCTAGAAGCCTCCCGCACGCTCTCCCTAAGAAGGATAACTGACCGCACTCACACGTCCTCCATCAGCTGGCTGGCCGGCCGACTACAAATGCTCTCTTTTTAGCCGGGCACTTGCCCATGCTCTTTATGAGCTGCCAGCCACCCCCGCCCGTCTTCACTCATAGGTGGCCGACCACCTTAGGGGCTGAATGGGTCAACAAATCCCAGGCACCAGGACTAAAATCCTAGTGGCCATGGCAACCTGGGATTTGGCGAGCCCTGACCTAATGTATAGAATGAAAGCTTAATCTTTAGTGTAAAATGACAAAATGCATCTACGACAGTTGCCCAAGAGACTGTGAACTGCTGCTTTCAATTTGTTATGCATGGCAATATAAATTTTGTCTTTCTAAACTCTGAATCAGCGCATTCTGAAATTACTGTGTTTCCGGCTTTCAAATTCTCAGAGGAATAGAGCAGCTAAATTGCACAGGATCAAATTCATAAAGTAGTTAGCTGAAAGGGGTCAGAGTCTAGGGCTGATGATTTTTGATTAAACAGAGTGAATTAGCCAGAGAGCAAAAATTCACACACAAACAAAAAAAAGGCTTTTTAAAAATTGAACTGCATTACCGTGCAATTTACAAAGCCATAACGTACACATTTTCAGCAATCTCGCATATCAAATGGTATTAAAAATATTAAATGGAAACTCCTGACACCTATAATACATCATTAAAAATCATCCTGATGTGTCATGAATGCATCTGTACTACAAATGCAAAAGCACTTGCATCTTAACTACAAACACATTGACTCCCACGTTTAAGAGTAAGTTCTGGGACAATTAAAGGGACATTTAGCATTTTCAGTGCTGAAATTGAGTGGCAGTAATATTTTTAGGAATAATGGAAACTGTTAGAACTTGGAACTAGTCAGATATTTTTTTCCAAATAATTCAATAATATTGATAAGGTTCAAAACATCTACTTGTTTATTGCCAATGGCAGTTCAGGTCTAGCATGGAGTGACATTGGCCCAGTAATGCCTTGAGCATCCCAAGTCTAGTTTGAGAGCAACAGCTTTTTGCAGGAGTGGACTCAAGGCTTATATATGCGGCTGCCAGAGAGTGTAAATCGGGATCAGGCAACTGCATACTTTCAGCATTGGTAGGTCTCCATGCCTTTAAAGATATTTTGGGGTAGCGATGCTGATCCTCTATGCCAAGCATGTCAAACTCACGGCCCGGTGAGCCGCGAGTACATGCTCTGTGTTATAGCAGAGTAGGCACCTGCTTTCCCCACATTGCCAAAACTTACCCGGCCGGGGAGGATGGCCAGCGAGGGAGCTCAGTGTACCTGCTCCTCACTGCTCCCTCGCGAGCAGTCTGTCGTGAGGCCGGGCATCACTAAATCACGCAAAGAAGCAAATAGAAGGACCCCAGGGAGATGCCCCACATCAGCTCCAAAAGGTATGGAGCAATAAAGTATGAGAGCGTGTCTGAGTGCGTGGGTGTCTGTGTATTTAACTGGGCATGCGCAGGAATTTCAGAGCGCTATCTTGTGTGGGCAGATGACATATCCCACAGGGCTGCCCACATAAAGATGGCGACGCCCAGGACCTAAGTCCGCACATTAAATAAAGTTTTAAAAAAAAGGTAAAATGGGGGGCCATTTGGGTATAACTAGGGGGAAAATAAAATGTATTGTAGTCGGGAGTGGGGGTTAAAAAAAAAAAAAAAAAACTGATGCGTTAATGACAGGCTGATATTACCTTAGTCTTAACGCGGCACTAAGTGGATAAATTGCTATCCCATGCGAAGTTCCAAATTTCCAAATACAAAATTATTTAGGAATAGAGCTATTGATGCGCGTTAGGTCGTTGCACCTTGTCCATCACAGAAATCTGTGAAGTAACCTATTGGATGAGATAGGATCTATTTTAGAGTGAAAATACACCACGCACAAGTACTTGGATTTGAAGGATATAGATAAAAGAAAATGTATAAAAATATCATTGCAGTATATTCATACCTATCAACATTTCAAATAGACAAAGAGGTACACTTGCATTTTTCGGTATTGTTGGTGTGGCCATGGGCAAAGCTGTTCTAAGAAATTTTATGTGACTTAATGTTTGCAACTACAATATTTGAACAAAAACAATGTAGAAGAATGCTAGTCACTAAAACAACTTTAGTGTAATGAAGTTTTGGTGTATAGATCATGCTCCTGCGGTCTCACTGGTCAATTCTCTGCCATTTAGGAGTTAAACCAATTTTCTTTCTGCTTATGCAGCCCTAGCCACACCTCCCCTGTCTGACTTGCACAGTCTGCATGACTTTTTAAACTTTTAATCAGGGCGGAGCCAGCACCCGAGCTAACCGGCCGCATCCTCAGACAGCTCCGTGCGACACGGTCAATTAACTCGCTCGGAGCCAGAATCCCCGCACACACCGGGCCCCTAAACCGGTTCACAGCTTACTGACAATATGGGGAAAAAGAGCAAGAAGCAGAGGGCGGATCCGGGCACGGGATCCAGAGATATAGGGGCTTTTCTCCGAGCCGCATCGCGGCCTGCTGAGGCTAAGATGGCGCCCGAGATCTATGCCTCACAATCCTCGGACGAGGACAGCTACTGTGCAGAGCCTGCACTGCTGACCCGCGCGCAACAACTGCCACAGAGACCGTAGACATGGGGGACTCTGCTCCAGCCACCAAGGCGGATATCAAAGCTTTGGTGAAGGACATTCAGGCCATGTTCCAAGCAGACATGGCGCGGGTAAAGGCAGACGTAGCCACACTCACCAATAAAGTGGCAAATGTGGAGGAGGACCTGGGGGACACTAAACTGGCGCAAAGTGCCACAGACGCGGCGCTGAACTTACTCCGCAAGCAATACGCGGACCAACAAACCCAACTGGCTGGCATGGAGGACCGGTACAAGGCAAGAAACCTGCGGGTCCGTGGAGTGCCGGAGACACTCACCGGCGCGGAATTGCCGCACTATTGCCGACGGCTGATAGCTCTTCTTGGCGTAAGTAGAGTGGTTAAGTTGATCACAATAGACTCTTGTTTCAGAATCACCAGGGCGGCCTCCACAGCACGCGAAGGAACTGGTGACGTACTGATTAAACTTATACGGGACTCTGACAGGGGCATGATTATGGGGGCTTCAAGAGACTCCCCCACGGTGGCGTTTGAAGGGGCACAACTAACGTTCTATAAAGACTTCTCCAGGAACACCATGATGTTGAGGGAGTCCTTTCGCCCAGTCACCCAGCTACTCCGGGAACAAGCCATCCCCTACAAATGGCCCACGCTGACTACAGGCAGAAAAGGCGGGCGAAACACATAAGCTGTCCCACGCATCTGATATACCAGCCTTCCTGCAGGCACTCGGCCTTCCAGCGCTAACAACACAGCAGCTGACCCGTCCAACATGGACTGTAGCGGAGATTACCCCCTTCGTGCCTAGAAGAGAGGCTCAGAAAACCACTGCCCTACCATCCTGAAGCAGCAGCAGAGCAGGGCCCACACGCCCTTTACCTGTTGCACCTGACAGGAGACATACCTGATCCGTTCCACGTTTGTTCTTTGTTATTTCCAATGCCGATGCTGTTGGTTTATGTTTTTTATTTCTGTTTTTAGTCTCTTTTTTCTCTCCACCATATGCTGCTTTTTTACACTATGCTCTTCCCAAACCCACACAATACTGGCTTCGTAAGCCTTCATAATAATAATACGCATTAAGCCACTTTCACCCCCCCTCCTCACACCCAGAGTGCGTTACACAGCTAGAAATATACCGCACATTACCTGCTGCACTCTCAGCTAGCAACTCAGTCGACCACACCCAGCTACGACACACATACCTACCCAAGCTCACCTACCTAAGGTCCC